ATCAAAGTTTCCCATTGCTATTTTTAATGCCTCAATCTTATTTTGTTCAATGGCTCGATAGTGACATTCTCCGTATCGAACGGCTGGGAAACTGGAAACAAGTAACCCAATAATTTGGGCTACCTCCCGAATTGTGTACCTGTCTGAATTTAGTATACATGAAATACGAGACATTATTTTTGTGATTTTCTCATTAGTTAGCTTAATTTTCATGGTTGCGGAATTGAGCTCAAAACCCAAAAACACAATCTTCTGTTGAGGGAAAAACATTGACTTCTCAACATGAAGGACAAAGCCTAAGTTAGTGAGGAGATTGACAGCCTCAATAATTGATGTAATACAGCCCTCATATGAGGTGGATATGATCAAAATATCATCAATAAATATTACAAGTATATGACCATTTTTTCGTAAGGTACATAAGACTGGTTTAAGTAGTTTTGTAAAGTTTCGTGGACATGTTGATAAACCATTTGGATAAACAGTATATTTGAAAAGTTTTCCTTTATAAAGGAATTTTAAGAACTTTTGATAGTCCTTATGTATACCAACAGTATAATACGCATCCTTGAGATCGAGGGATGCGAGCCAACATTCCTTTGTCATAAGTGATAAGGCGGTGTTAATGGAATCCATTTTAAAATGGTATGATTTGACATGTTCATTAAATTTTTTGAGATTTAAGATAAGTCGAACCTTATCATCTTTCTTGGGAACGGAAAAGATTGGCGAAATGAACTCGCCTGGTTCGTGGGAAGTTTTGACAATGACGTTTTTAGCCAAGAGTTTAGAAATCTCTTCGTCTATTTTAATTTCATGATCTTTTGAAGTCGAGTTTGTTGGATAAATAGAACATGTTGGAGGGTCTCCGATAAACTCAATGACTTCACCTTTGACAGTCTGTAGTATACTTTTGTCAGAAGTCAAAGCTTCCCACTGTGAAATAAAATATTTAATTTGGCCGCCACAAAATAGATCAATCAGTCTTTTTAAATTTGGCAAGATTTTTGAGGTAAAGTATGTCGGAAAACCAATTACCTGATTATTTATTGACGGAAATGACTCTTCTGTTGTTGGCTTCGGAACGGACGGAATGTTTGCTGGGGAGGAAATTGACCCCTCCCCCTTTTTGGTAAAAAATGTTGCCTTTTTTGGTTTGGATAAGGCATAAACCGTTGGCGCGGGAATGAATCACGCAGCAAGAATTTCCCATGCAATTTAGCCTCATTGACTGATTTGCTCAGATCGTCACCAAAAAGAAATTTCTCGGGTTTGTTCGATCGGTGACAAGCAGGCTTTAATTCGTTACTGAGTAATGGGCGTAGTGAATCCCGTCTTTTATAGGATAATTCCGTATTAACATGGCCCAAAAGCGCAATTGAATCAAAAAGACGTGAGGCAACAGTACGATAATCAGGCAATGTCTTGTTTTCTCTACATTTTAGTAGCTCGTCAACAGTAACAGAAAGTGCGCTTGATACTCGAACAATAGAGTCTTGTAAGACTGCTGTGCGTAAGTCACGCTGTCGGTGAAAAGCTTTGAGGCTCGTCCAAATAGGTTCATTAACCTTTGGTACAAAAAGCTTTGGACAATTTTCAGGTGTTTTATATTTTTCAAATATCTCCTTACGTTTCTCTAGTCCGAGATCTGATGAAAATTTGTCGTTTACAATTTTTGCGATTTTTTCATGTATCGGTGGGCCTATAGAGTCTGACGGCCGTAACGATTCATCAATTTCATCTAAAAGGTCCTCATTATCGTCAAAATCATCGCCGCCAAGAATGCTTAATGTATCATCATTTACGACCCTTTGGTCAGATGGACTAGCTTCCTCTGAAGCTGGCGTATGAACTTCTTCTGAAGCTGGCGTATCGGTATTTGCTTCCTCTGAAGCTGGCGTGGTGTCCTCCTCTGGGACTGGCGTTTGCGATTCTTCTGAATCGACTGTCTTTGACGCGCGTTCAGCGCGTAGTTCACTTAAAAATTGTGTGGTTTCTACCATACTTTTTTGTAGTTCGGAAAACATGTTGAATAACATTGCATTGTCTGGTGAGGGCGCTACCGCACCAGCATCTAAATTTTGTTCAGTGTCTGACATGCTATTACTACAGATAATACGAATATAAAGATAAAGAAAGTACAAAAGATAACGACTTAGCTCTTTTTATCCAGAAAAGATAAGCGTCGTCTTGAGAAGATGAATTCCAAGTTCCAACGGAACGATAAATTGCGGGTGCTCACTGGTTCACATGAACAGTACAACTGGTTAACTCATGCGCGGTACTGTCTCTCGTACAACTACGTAACGACTATAGCTAATGACGTAATAGAATTGGTCGTCTAATAAGCACGTTAAAACACGAGCAGCCGATGTTTATCTGATATACAAACTCTCGCCATTGTCCCCAATTTTAATAATATATTCTAATGTGACTCGCTTGAACTAGTTATAGTAGATCAAATATAAATCAACGGTAAATCCGAAAATAATAAAAAAAAATTATTTTTTACAGTATATTATATTATATTTGTTGTTCTACAGTATATTATTTAACAATTATTCGCCGAAGGCGAGGTGAATATCGCTGAATAAAAACCGAGACGAAGTCGAGGTTTTTATTCGGCGATACTGTCACCGAGCCTGAGGCGAATAATTGTTTTAGTATAATTACAAAGGTGATTATTTGAAAAAAAGAATATAACACATCTCAATTTTTTGAAAACGTTTAATTAAATTCATAAAGAAAGCGGTATGCGCAATGAAGGCGCTCGTATCGCCATCAAGGATGTTTTTTGTAGTAATTCCTATCACTTTTTCTTACAGAAAGGTATAGAATTTTGATAAAAATTCGGTTCATTTCGTCAATACTCATGTCTTCAAACTCATTTGTGAATTCTGACTGTTGTTGAAACCAATCTGTAGAAAATATATTTTTACAAACGTAAACAAATGTCTAGACAATTGTACGGCAATTTAAAATAAAACGATGTTTTATGCGAAATAAAGTTATGCATATTTCTGCAACTTAGTTTCCTACCTCGAAATAATTTTAAGCCAAATTTTGTCTCTTCTTTCGAGCTCTTAGGTACAGCATTTTCTTTAAAATTACTTATTTCTTTATCTGTCACTTTGGCAAAACAACTCGCCGCCATTTTGAAAAAACCGCTTAGGTGATTATCGCGTAATAATCCGAGGTCGCTTGACCAATCAGCGGCCACAATTTTCGATAATCACCTTTGTAATTATACTAAATTAAAATACTCAGTGGTTCCCGTAATAGTAGGTCTCATTTTGTTTCCGGTTTGTTCCTAGCAACAACAAATGTTCCTAGCAACAGTCAACCAGCATCAGTGGATAATAGTTCGGCCGTTTCACTCCCCTCTTTATTTTTTATTATTTCTCTGCCTTATTTTAAATTTCGGATCTTTCTCGGTCGCCCTTCGGAGTATCACCGTGTAACATTTAACAAATATAAAACATTTTCCGTGTTGATATACAGTTATATCAACACGAGTGGAAATTGGGAAAACGAGAAATTGTGTGGAAACACGACGCCCGAAGGGCGGAGTGTTTTCACACAATTTCGAGTTTTCCCAACTTCCACGAGTGTTGATATTTAACAAATATAAAACATTTTCCGTGTTGATATACAGTTATATCAACACGAGTGGAAATTGGGAAAACGAGAAATTGTGTGGAAACAAGACGCCCGAAGGGCGGAGTGTTTTCACACAATTTCGAGTTTTCCCAACTTCCACGAGTGTTGATATTTCAACAAATATAAACATTTTCCGTGTATACGGAAGGAAATTGGGAGAAACGAGAAATTGTGGAAACACTCCGAAGCGTGGCGTTTCACACAATTTCGAGTTTTCCCCAACTCCACAGTGTTGATATAACTATTTATAATATAGCATTTGTAAATTCTGAACGCTGATTGGCTAAGAGCCGTGTTGATATAACTCCATGTCAACACGGGAAATTTTCCGCCGCTTGTAACACGGAAATTGTTCTTATTCTTCGGGCTTTTGACATTGCTATATTATAAAACAAATATAAAACATTTTTTCCGTATTGATATATAGTTTTATAATATAGCATTTGTAAATTCTGAACGCTGATTGGCTAAGAGCCGTGTTGATATAACTCAATGTCAACACGGGAAATTTTCCGCCGCTCGTAAACACGGAAATTTTTCTTATCCTTCGGGCTTTTGACATTGCTATATTATAAAAAAATATAAAACATTTTTTCCGTATTGATATATAGTTATATCAACACTCGTGGAAGTTGGGAAAACTCGAAATTGTATGAAAACACTCCGCCCTTCGGGCGTCGTGTTTCCACACAATTTCTCGTTTTCCCAATTTCCACTCGTGTTGATATAACTGTATATCAACACGGAAAATGTTTTATATTTAACAATTATAATATAGCATTTGTAAATTCTGAACGCTGATTGGCTAAGAGCCGTGTTGATATAACTCCATGTCAACACGGGAAATTTTCCGCCGCTTGTTAACACGGAAATTTTTCTTATTCTTCGGGCTTTTGACACTGCTATATTATAAAACAAATATAAACATTTTTTCCGTATTGATATATAGTTATATCAACACTCGTGGAAGTTGGGAAAACTCGAAATTGTGTGAAAACACTCCGCCCTTCAGGCGTCGTGTTTCCACACAATTTCTCGTTTTCCCAATTTCCACTCGTGTTGATATAACTGTATATCAACACGGAAAATGTTTTATATTTGTTAAATGTCAAAGATGAACATAAATTATTGCGCCTGCGATGAGCTAATAATATATACCGCTTTCAACATTCAAAATGGCGCCCGATGAAAATTGAACATGCGGCTAAATCGAGGAATGCACATTTGCCCGACGCCATCTTGAATCATTATTAACTGGGGACATCCGTGGTTATCTTATGATAATAATGAATTAGTAAAATGGTTATCCATTAAAGTGCTCCTGTATCCCTTGTCTACATCCGTAGCTTATTTCTATTGTCAGCTGGGCGGTAAACACGCAATAAAAAGTTTTCTTTAAATTAACTAGAGATATTTACTATGAAAAGATGCTGATTTTTATGGCGAATTCAATGGTGTTCTCCGATTTTCCATCTACTCTGTACACAAATTCCTATATTAGGGTAAAGACTCGAGTTTTAAAGTATTAAAGGGCGAATATCTCGGTTCAGTTTTTGAATGAAAAAGGAAAACTAGGGCTATTGATACAGAATTTCATGCAGAATCGAAGGGTAGTTTCGGAATTTCCATCTACCGTGCACACAACTATGTGCTCACTATACGAAAGTAAATTTGCGTGCCAGAGACTAAGTGTCGATTAATGCATACAAATCACTGTGAAAAATGTCGATACGCGAAATGCTGTTATTTTGTATTTTCGACCGGTTTATTTAACTTTATATGAAATCAAAAGCTAAAATCAGTCATTATAATATGATTATTTATGATTTAAAAGCATCAAAAGTGTATTTATTGTGATTTTTGCTGCTGTAAACTAGCTTTATTTATATACATATAACAATTTAGTATTAGGCATGTGCGAGCGACAATTATCCAATCAGAATCCAATATTTTCATTTTCCCGCGAATACGTTTGTTTTGATTACATCATTCATGATAGATACTATGACATCATAACTGAGACCCAGGTCATTGCGCGGAATTCAAGATGGCGTCGGGCAAATGTGCATTCCTCGATTTAGCCGCTAGTAAAATTGAAAACATTTACATGTAATTAAAAGGTTAGTATAAATTTACACAAATATTTCTGGCGTGCTCCCTTGGGACGCGCCGTCATTGTTCGACTGGCTCTCGTTGTGTTCACTACTCAATTTACAAGGAGCGGTATTCAAAAGTACAAATTGAAAATTGTAAATCATGGCGAATTTTCGTACTGTTATTATTATTATTATTATTATAACATCTTTATACACGGTAACTAATCAACCATATTACCTATCAGTATTTACAAAAATTATAAAGGTTGTTTTTCATTAGGCCGTGTTATTAAATACAGAACTCGAAATACTATTATATAAACTATTATAAAAATATTAAAAGATACTAAGAAATGTTTGGGTCGAAGTCGATACGTTAAATATATATATTACAAATGAATTAAGTAGATATAAAATTTTTACTATTATAGTTCCAGTCTTTAGCAGCAGCATATCCGAATGTCCTTTTCATTGAATTTGTTTTAGGCTTCGACAACATCAGCATCTTGTTATTACTTCTTAAATTATATTTATCAGAATTTGAGATTTTAAACATAGTTGAAACGTTTTCAGGACATTGGTTTGAAAGGGCTTTGGCCACATATGCTAATTTTTGCTCCTTTCTTCTCTCTTCGAGTGTTCTCCAATTTAATTTCTTTAAAATATCCGTGGAGCGAATTTCATAGGTATCACCTGTGATTACTCTAGCTGCACGGTTTTGTAGTCTCTGTAGCTTTTCTTTTGAACCTTCGCCACAGTTTCCCCAAACCATGGAGCAGTAATCAAAACTCGGTTGCACTAAAGCCTGATAAATATATTTAAGAGTTTCAAGAGAGACAAATGGCTTTGCACGGCGCAGCATACCAATGCCCTTCGATACCTTTTTACTGATGTTGTCGATTTGCTCATTCCAACATAGATTGTCATCAATCAGTACACCTAAAGTCTTTTTGGAATAAACCTGTTTCAATAGTTTCCCCCCGCATGATACGCTAGTATTTTTTTGAATTTTAGCTAATCTTTGACGGGTTCCAATGATCATGTATTCTGTTTTTTCAATGTTTAAAGTTAGCTTGTTTGAAAGAAGCCACTGGTGAATATTTTTCATTTCAGAATTTAGTGCTTCCTCCAAATTATTAATGCTATCTGAACATACTGTAAGATTTGTATCATCTGCATACATTGCCGGACAGGATTTATCCAAGCAATTTGGCAGGTCATTGACGTATAATAAAAACAAAAGGGGACCAAGGTTCGATCCCTGGGGAACCCCACAACGTATTTTCCTGGTGGACGATGTTGCACTGTTCACCCTGCAGTATTGCGTTCTGTTATGCAAATAA